GCTGACGCCTCCCTTCTTACACTTTCACGTTTTCCTTCTTTCACCCTCCCCCACCCAAATTCGAATTCGAATACTCTTCGAGGAGCAGATGGGTGCCACCCGCATATTGCAGATCAACGAGGTCTTCGTCAACAGCTATTTAAACACCGGGGTTTTTATGACCTTCCAGCGTTCACTTCATTAATCCGTCAATCACGAGTGTAATTGGGAATGGAGAAGTGAGCATCCTTGCAGGATACCACTGTATACGGAAACTTTTGGAGAGATCTCTGTAAACACTCACATGCCCAGAAGTCTGAGAATACGAAGTGCTCTAAGTCCTTCCTTGCTGTGCAACCGTGTTAAAAAGAGCAGACCGGTCAACTGAGTCGAATGCGCCTCGTAATCCAGGACTGTTAAAATTGTGGGGCGCTTATAAGTATGACGTCGCTCTAACACCTGGCAGAGTGTAAAGATCTGTTCAATATAAAGCACAATATATATGGGTGTTCGTGAACGCTATTCTTTGAGACAGGGCTGTTTAGATCGTATCTAGTTTCTTCGATTCACGGGTGAGATGTTTGACGTAACAGTGCAAAATATGATTTATAACTGACTTGTATATTTCACCGTGCATTGTTCTTCAAGCTGATAAGCACAACTGAGTTGCAAGCTCTTGATTTTCCAAGCGCGCTCCTTAAGGCACCTTCGGACTGCATTTGCATGCATTTATCTCTGATCGTGCCGAGTCAACGCGCGCAAAACCGAAACATTCGCCATGTGAAGGCAGTTCTTGTCTTTGTATGGTCAACGCCAGATTTCGCATCCCTGTGGTACTTCTGGTACATCCCGTCACACCACTGAACTGACTCCATCCTAACTTTCCTTGAAGGAGATTTTCGTTACTCTGCTTTTTTCGCAACCAATCGGTTGTGCATTGAAGGCGTGGTAGTCCCTCACCTGATTTCTTATGAAACCAGTTTTCTGTGTTTTGCTGGATTATGATCAAATCATTCGACACCATTGAGGCTCGCCTGTTTTCACAAAAAACGGAAATGGATCTGTGCCTAGTCTAGGTGAGGTTGATAGTCATGTTCCGATTGGTTCTCCGAGAGCATTTTTGCGCTTGAGTTACTTGCTACGGGTATCCATGTTGTCGTTCAGAATGATTGCGGGATAAGGTCCCGTGTGGCGTGCATGTGTCATAATAGAAACGCGAAATCTAGTCAAGTGCTCCGCCCTCCGTCGCATCTTTTGTACGAGGTGTCGCGTTAGCCTATAGGGAGTTAATTACAAGTAGTGTGTTAGTTGCTGTATGGATAAAGGGTGACTGGGGTACACTGGCAAAGTGGGCAGGTGCGGGTGGAGACTTCCTTTTTGCTCCCATCTCTGGTTGTTGAATGCCAAGTTTCGATATGTTTGTTTGTCTGCCAGAGTTGTTTAGACTGTCGTTGAATAAATCGCTCTGGATAGTCCTTCGCCAATTTTTTTCTAAATTTCAGTATAGAATGTTAGAGTGTTGACTGATTTGAATCAGTCAGCGTTATGTGTTCTTAGTCTATAGAATATGCTTACCTCAAGGTTGAACGTTGACATTCTTCCACACTTATTTCATTCCTTCTCTTCCCTTAATTATTTTCTTTCTGTGTGTTCGTTGGAAATTAATCATATCAGAAAAAGTTGATCATCGGCTTGGGGTGGATTCCTTGCACACCATGATACATCAACTTTCCGGCTCGGTCTGTTGCATGCTTGAAAAATGCGTCGCTGATACAACTCAGTAATGATTTTCGATAACCTCTTGAGCGAAGCCCCCTGACCCATATAATAAACTTGGAGCGTTGAGTATTTTAGCAAAAGCCGGGTGCTTACTTTTGGCCCTTCCCTTCTGTCGTTCACTACCAATAGTTTTGTATGTGTACCTACGTTTCCCCCAAAATACTCACTGTTTATAAGATAACCGCTCTACTTCCCAGCTGAGTACCTAGACTTACTTTCAAGCCATACGGGCGCTTATCGAAATAAACGTAGTTACTGGATGCGACAAGACAAGAAAATGTCCAAACGTTTTTCACAGCCATTACACGCATTTGTTGAAAACTTGCAAGTGTGGAATTTCCCATGTACACGTTCAAGACCCTAGTCGTGTGTCATTCCAAGCTGACGGAAACTCGGGGGACTGTACCTGCCTAGGAAGAGCAAAACCGGTCGTGAATTGCCGAGGAGCCCTCAGCAATCTGATGAGTAGTCAGTCATTATTATTTTGTGTGCATGACGAATAGCTTTCCTCGAATTCCTCACCCGTCATTCAACGACTCAAAAGTGATCATTTGTCTGTTCACTTCAACCAAACAGGGAAGTTCTCCACTCAGTACGACCAAGCTTGTTTGTATCTTACGTGTAAGATAAAGGTAAGGTAAGAATAGTATACGGGTCCAGTCACAAGTTGACTCATTTTCAGAATGACTGAGGTACACGCAGTGTTAATGATTGGTTCACTAATGGGTAAAATGCATGTGAATATAAGAATCACCATGCGTAAGACAGTGAAGGTTAATATATCCAAAAATATATATCCCGGATAAAGGCTTATTTTACTGATCCCTGTTCTGGAAAATCAAACGGTTTTATCCAGACAAAATGGGTGCCTACTAATAAGCCAAAGTAACTATCGCAGTAAGGGTATTGGGGCTTCAAACACACCGGTGTTGAGAAACATTGCATGGCTGTTTCGCTGGTCACCAGCAATGTGCATCTTACAAGTTATCATACTGATGATCGGTTCCCGGTTGCCAAACGGTGTAATATTCAACCACTAAACGGAAGAAAGTTGGTTCAGATGTCCACAGATTATAGCGAGGAATGCGCTCATAGCCTCTAGCAAGGATGAAACGGCCACGCAGTACGAAATCCATATTTGAAGAGAAATTTACTGTAATCCATGCAGCCAGCCGACATCCCACCTTGTATTGGCCAATTCACACACTGTTTCACCAATGCTTGTTGGAACAAGTGACTTGTCTCCGACCGACCCGATAGTATGTGTCCGGGTTTCCGTTTTGGGACCAAGCGCAGATTTCAGGTCAATTCATGTCTAGCCAATCAGTACGCTGTTGGGACAGTTCGGTAGGATGGCATTTAATCGTTTGCCACTATTAGGTACACAAGCTATAAATATCGCTACATTTCTATTAATGTGTTACCTAGTGACAGAACTGTATCGATTTATCCCAGTCATGGGATTCAGTTACGCTAATGCGACCAATCCACACACGTGAGCTACCATATGCGAACCAGCTGTTCGCGCGATCATATCGAATCACCCTAGGACGATGATCATGCACACGAGCCACGGTGCGTTATCATCGGCGAATGTAATGTAAGAAGGAGAAGATGAGTCGGTGCGCCCGTACATGCAACCTTCGACAAAGGGAAATTCGACTACTACCCGCAGCACAGAAGTAAATTTCCTACTAGTATGAGTGTTTTTCGTCGGTCGTAAATTCTGGGGTAATATACACATGAGGACCCATAGTCTACACAAACGGTAGTCTTATATTTGTGAGCTATTGTTTTGGGGTTTTCAGCAAGCATCAACATATGTACCAACCAGCAGAAAGCCTCGAGTTTAGCGCAGGCCAAGTCGCCAAACAGCGAATTGCCCATTATTGGTGCATACCAAAGTCCAGGTGACTTAACTAGCTTGATCCGGAATTGTCCACGTGATCAAAGTTCTCTAGGCTTGGGATTTTTTTTAGTTGTCTGTGTGCCAGTGTTCGTCCAGAGAAGTGGACGAACAGGCATTGCTCAGTTGTCGATGAGAAGCTATCCTCAGTATTTGGTAACCAGGTACGCTCTGTCGATTGGACTGGTTTTCAGATTAATTCTGTGGCCGAAGTTCTATGGTAATAAGGAAGTTGTACATCAGCTCTTGATCTTAAAGCCCCATTCCATCGAACCGGACCGATCCATTGATACCCCTCCGCTTAAATTTTTTGGGTCGCCAGAGATTTTGACCAGGTTTAGCTAGGGAAGCGCGGATTTTTCATGGGATTTACTTTCACTTTCTTTTCAGGCATGTGGAGCGGAATCGGGCCGAGGATCATCATGATTGGCACACTGACCGCCCTGCAGTGGTTCATCTATGATGGATTCAAAGTCGCCATGGCTCTGCCTCGGCCTCCACCCCCGGTGATGCCGGTATCTTTGCGAGAAAAACTAGAGCATCGGAAGCAGTAACAACCCCTACCATCTCCACCTGTTGTATCTCTTCCTTGCCCACTCTTTAGCTCATGAGGGTGATTTTCTGTGCTAGTTATTAGCCTTCTTGCAATACCAATTCGGTCGTGAAATAATAATACCAATGAGATTGCACAGTCTTGAAATAGAAAGTATTTGTTACTTATATACATGAAAGGTGGTGGGTAGGGAATTAGTCCGAGTCGGTGATGATCCGTCGTCGTCGGCGTTTCTTTGGTTTCGGTGTATTAATAGATGGCTCCTTTGGGCTGCATTGTGCACCGGGATCCTCACTGTCCACACAAAAGCTATCGAGTTGATAGTCGTCATCTTGTTCCGGAGGCTGAAATCCAAAGCAAACATATTTCGTTGTGCAGTGGTCATCGTAATAGTGAGTCTCACAATATAGCATTAAGGCAGTCGTAAAACAAACCCAATAGAGGATTCCTTGATAAACCAGTGGTCAGTCTCGCCGGTTACTCAAGCTGAGCATAGAAAGGACCATGAGGTACGGAGAAACCGCCTATCGCTCCAACTCGAGTATCAACACCGTTTCAGGGTCGCGGGTATGGAACAGCTTGGCAAACACTAGGGACACTCCCGTTTAACTGCCTCTGCGCTATTTTCCGGACATTCATTGAGCTAAAAATAGTAGTCTACCCACATATGTTTAACAATGGATCGTGGCAGCTGGGCGTGCACCACGTGACGAGAGCAGACGACTAACCTGTTCGAACACAGCTTAATCATAAGCTGTAGAAATAGGGCGAGATGGCTCAGTGGTTCGAGCGCGAATTTACTGACTGGAATATCTGTGGTTCGAACCCGACTCTCGACTTCTCCTGTCAAGGCTTGGGAAACCTAGCAGTATCCCAGTACTCGTGCCTCCTTTGGGCGGCATGGCAGTTAGGCACCGAAAGGGTGCTACCAGCTGAACATTTTTATGATTGTTACCTGTAGAAATCCACCGATAATAAACACTGGTGCTCAGCTACCACATGACCATGAAAAAGAATGTCCAAGCACAAATAGGAAAGGGGAAGATTGGATGCCAACAACCTACGCTTTGCAGCAGCAATGAAATGAACGTATCTGCACATCATATCGAGGACGCCAGTGAGATTGGCCCAACGTTTTTTGCGAACACCGTTCGACATGATTGCAACATAGGCCGATAAAGAAACTATCCGGGTAATACGATCAGGAATTAACAGCATGCTTTCCACTAGAACCGGTTACGTGTTCTGTAGGGTTTTTAACCACGTATAAGGCGAATCACGCNTATATATATATATATATGTATATATATAAAGGATTTCCACTGTTACTCTGATTAGCTCAGTCCTAGATCTTGTTTTGCGGATCAGCATGCCCCGTCTCCTACATTCTTGGACCTTGTTGATCCCACCACGCCTCCCTGTCCCTACATAAACTTCGTGCAACAGAGCAACCCTGCGATCCGAAATAATATACATCTAGCATCAAGAAATGACGCTTTTGAGATCCAGTGGTTAGTGTAGGGGCGTTCGGAAACTCCTCGGGCGTCATGCATGGCAATTTGTATCTCTTCCCAATTACGATTAATGTCTTTGAGAAGGTCGTTTTCAAAAACATCGCGTAGCAAGTCTTTGAAGGTTTACTCAAGTCCTGTCTTCGGAAGAGTCCCGACTACTAAATGGAAGTTTACCCGCGAACCAACCTCAACTGCACCTTAATTTGATTTCAATGGGAACCTGTGTCCTGTCAGGAAGGCCTACTTACGTTTACTCTGAAAATTACTTCGAATGAGAATTTGGTCCGAATCAATACTTGTATTCCGGGCGCACATTGGGCTCGCCACCAGTAGCTAACAGCCACGCGATCGATTCGGCTGCACGGTTTTTCGGCAGTAGGAGGGCCACAGTGGCACAACGGCTTCCACTACGCAGCACTGCTGAGGAACAACTGGTGATCAGCACGAAGTTACAAATGACGGTCACCGGTATCATCAAGACTATAGCAGGAATTTGATATCGGAAAATGACGGGTCGATAGGTTCCCAGGTTTTTCACCCTAAAACAGACTGGTGAAGACAACCGAAGTTTGTTCCAGCAGACTTGGATGTCATATTCATCAACACTGAAATTGGCTTGAAAAGACGGCTACACTGCACGAACAAGCACAGCACTAGTAGAACAAGGGTCGACTGCAAGCCTGTCGAACAAATGTCTAGATGTACGCCTCGAAATGAAGGCAAGTTTCGTTAAGTATGGTACAGGAGATCCGCTAATCAATTGATGCGGATAAACCAGAGTATTCCAAAAAAGCAAGAGGACAGCAGTTTGCCGTGAGAATGAGAACCAACTAACCGATTGCATAAGCAGAAATCATTCTGCATTTTACGCTTCTTTGGCTCCCAGATACATTGACTTATTCAAATGTCAAATGCATGTGTGTTGTGGGACATTCGGACAGAACTGATGGTTCAAAAGCTACGGGAAGGTGTTATGGTTTTATGCTTTAGGCTGTGCCTCCCGAGGAACGTGATTTTGGTCTATCCCGAAAGTGTACGCTCCTCTAGGAACGCAACGCGTTTCTCCTGAATACCTGAGAGGAACAAACAGATGATAGCTATCACGGAAAAAAACGTGAGATAAGGCGAGTGATGTCCTCTTTCTTCGCAAAAGCCGTTGCCTAGGTTTCCATAAAAGTTATTCTTACAGTGGAGACTTAGAGTGCATTGTTTACTGTTAGGTGACATCTGGTAAACGGATCATGAGAGGACGCAGTTTGGTCGCATGACCTCCTACGATCAACGGCGCTCAGCATCTGATTCAAGCGGAGTGTCCCATGAACTGCACTGATTGCACGTGTGCGCGGTTACGACGTGCGGCGCGAAGTTAGATAAAAATATACGGTGTTACCTTCAAATCTGAGACAATGTGAGGTAGATCAGGACAGTGACGGAAAAAATGCAGGGAACAAACTCCCTCAAAAGATAATGCGCTAAGCGAGTTTTTGGACTGACAATCCTTTGCTGACCTGGTCGATATTGCGGTCCAGTTACTGGACAGCTGACTGAGATGCGAACCGAGTTGCGCAACGGAACTGTCAGCTTCGAAGATAGAAGTATTTCTGTCTCTCTGTTTGATATGGTTGTCTCATTGCCCAATAAGTTTGTCTCCGACTAGATCGCAACAGTGATTTTCGAAGGTTTCCAAACTCTAAGCGATCGTGTAAATTTTCGTGTGTTCATAACCTGATCAAGGATTACACCTGGTGGCGAATTGAACAAGCAGAGCAGAGGTTGTGACAAAAATACTCCTTAGCTTAGGTGTATAATGAATCCACAACCGCAAAATCTAGTGCAAATGATCTCTTGGGTAGGGAGAACAGATTAGGTTGCTGCTTTCATCAGTGTTTCGTTCCTTGTGAACTGACAAATCCAGTTTACTGGTGAGACTGACCTCAAGGACTTGTGAGTATGGTCGTGCACATGAGCTTTTGTCATTCTGACTCAGAACAATGCGTTTTGCAATCTGAAAGACCGTGTTCAGTGGCTAGGTGATTAAATGAATGAAACGAATCACTAGAGATGGATGTTGCGCGGCATCCCGATGCAGCTGCGCAACTCGGACGGGCCGAAACCAGGTCCAAGGTATTTCTAATGACGACGTCAAAACACCCAACGAATCTCGTGGATGGAAAACACGAACAATGACAAACAACTTTAAGGTAAAGAGAGTCGTTCAGCCGTAACACCNGCCACCCGAGGGTTGCACGAGGGCTGGGATACTGCCAGGTTGCCCAAGCCTAGACAAGAGAAATCGAGAGGCAGAGGTCGGGTTCGAACCACGGACATTCCGGTCAGTGAATTCTCGCTCTAACCACTTGGAACATCTCGCCCCCTAAGGTAAAAAGGGCGCACTACTCTGCATTATCTATTTTTTAAAACCGCCTTTCATTAACACGGCGATCAGGTTTACTCCAAATCTTGAAGAACTCATGCAAAGAATCAAGTTTGTAAAAGAACCAAATCCACTGGCTGCGGAGCTATTCTGGTTGAAAATTGCGACTCTGTTGTTCGGACGAAAACCATCCAGCGTGGGACGACAGTAAACACATTCGATCCTATAATGCAGACATGCAGTCGAACGGACGCACCGTCTAGTGTGCTCTAGATAATGGCTTTGTGTTGCTACGGATGGTAGTGATCGACATTTGTGCCGCACCTTCGGCTGCAGAACCGCATGAACAACAGATGTAGTTGATTTTCACGTTCGGACCACTTACATGTCGCACCGTCAACGTCGATACATCCATTCAACCAGAGTGAAGCTACCTAAAACCATGAGGAGGAAAGAACAGTGCACACAGGAGTATCACGCAACAGACACCCTTGGGTACCCATACACCCGCGTGTGCATTCAGACAATCTGGACAGAAAATAAACAGGACACAAATTAGCGACATCGACTAGTATTATGTCGGGGTCAATCCTACCGGGTATTCATGGTTTCGATCATGCAACCCGGCACTATCAGAGGCGATTTGTGAAAACAAGTCTAGCCAATAAGCTCCCTCGTTCATCGATCAGATGGGTGCCTGTATAGTCGGTTTATCAAACTCATTTTGTCACACCTTATCAAGTAACGAAGAGTAGTCTAGTGACCAGACCTGCCTATCTTCTGAATTGTTATGTATGTATTCCCAGCCTCGACTATCAAGCCGTTCCCTCCAACCACCATCGCGAAACAGAACAGGAAAGTGGTAGAGCCAAGGTTCCTGTCAGTCAGTGGATGAGATTGTCGAGCTTCGCCAACCGTTTCACTGAATACACGAAAGAGGAACTGGTCCGACCAGATAATAATAATAATCATTCAGCTGTAACATACTTTCGGTGCCTAGCTGCCATGCCACCCGGAGGAAGCATGAGGGCTGAAATACTGCCAGGTCGCCCAGGCCTAGACAGGGGAGGTCGAGTGGCAGAGGTCGGGTTCGAACCACGGACCTTCCGGTCAGTAAATTCGCGCTCTAACCACTTAGACCATCTCGCCTCTGATCAGATAACCAAATAACGAAATTAGTTGAGCTGTAGTAAGCCTATTTTGACCACAAATCCTCCAGCCCTAACATCCTCGGCGTCTGCCTGCCATGTGAAGGAGCAAAAGCGCTGAGATATTTCCAAGTTACCCAGGCCTAGGCAGGAGCAGTCGATGTGCATGGATGTGGTTTCGAACCATGGACCTTCCGGTCAGTAAATTTGTGCCTCAACCACCGAGCAATTTTGAGCTTAGAACAAACTTCTAACCGGGGCTTGCAACCGAATTCTTTTTTTGGAAAATTCAGAGAAGTTAAGGCTTACCTGAGAAAATATAAAATCCTCAGAATCGCTGTCGATCGTCGCCAAACGCGTCCCGGGCCATGGTTGCTCTCTAGATCTTTGGTGCAGTACATTCGCAGACGCGGAATGAAACGCTGCTCCCAGAAGCTTCGATGAGGTTTTGCTAGGGACTGCCGAATCCCCACATACAGACGCTTTAACAAAGCCAACAGGAGGGCTTCGGATTGACTGCAAGTACACCCCAATCATATTCGATGTGTCCAGTCGACTTGAGCTACGTTCATCAGGCTCCGCTGTAGCACGGCTGTCGTCGATAAAGCTCTCGTCGTACACATCTAGTCCCGTACCGTCGAACTCATCCGCAGAATTTCCATCGCCTGCCTCCGCTTGGGTTAGAAGGAAACGATGAGCATGATTGCGTCCTTTTGCTGCTCTATTCATCCGGAAAGCTATCGGACTGGAAGAGTTCGAATATTTCTGATCTGTGTTTGACTGGTGTTGTGACAAATTGGTTGTATCCTCTTCCAATGGTCCAGTATGCGACTGTTCGGATGTCACAGTGGAATGAGTAAGGCAATCCCCTTTCGCACCCACCGTAAGTTCGTCCACATCTTGGACTGGAATTGGTGACCAGCTAAACTGAGACGGGAGCTCAAACGCGTCTGGTTCCCTCGGAGATCCATGAGGAGTAGAATGAGATTTCGTGACTGGATCTGGGTCTGTTGGCACACTACTAGTAACGCGTTGTGATGGGGCGAGAAAATCCTCCCCAAATTCTTCACCCAACTGCAGTTTAGTACCGAAATTTAAGGTATCTGATTTCGAAGGTGTGGGGCACAGCGGACCAGTAAAGACAACACTATGTCGTAAAAATGTATCCGTCGGAGGAGGAGGCTGATCATCTAGCCTATCATCAAATAATCCGGAGAAGTCCAGACGAATAGTTGACCGATCCAAAATTGCTAATGCATCGGTCAAATTTATCTGACTAACACTTCCCCTGAGGTCCGGTCGCCGGTATGTCGGGGACTTTGGTCGTGGAGTACTACGGGCAACTGCACTTAGGTTTAACTGCTTTGGAGATGCAAGGCGAAATGCCGCAGCCAGACCAACCTGTGGTGTACCGACCAGAGGACTACCCAAAGTGTTCTTCGGAGCTTGATTTGCGGTCGGCTTGGCCATATCTGTCTCCGGCATTGCATCATTCTGAGTAAAATCTCCTTCAATTGCCTCTAGTAAACTTTTATCTACCCACTGTTCCAAGCCCATAACCGATGGGATCTCCAGAGGTTGGTCCACTTTCGGTGGCAGTGCAACTTTCGGACGCTCGGGCTCGTTCGTTCGCAACAGCCTTTCCCATGCGGACTGCAACAAAACCGGACTTATTCGCCCAGGTGATGTAATCCCGGACTGCATGAGGTTACGCGCCACATCAATCAACCGTGAATAATCGAAATGATCAGCACTAACAACGGGAAAAAACAACTTTCCGCTAACCAAACCCTTCGCCAATTGCGGCATTTTTAGCATTGTGGCTGTGAAACTTTCGCGAAGTGCATTACAGTCGTCTGACTCTGGATTCGCATTCTTCATATCCCCGTTTGTTTTCAACATGGGTTCCGCCTGACTCGATTCAAGATCCGCATTAGCGACTGGATTAGGAGGCAGCGTCCTATCCACATCCACGGATCGGAGTCCCAGTGCATGGTAAGACAGTTGGGTTTCGCCACGTCGATGTAGTTCAATCAAGTGTAACACGGAAACCAGATGACGTGAGGAAGTCGACGAACCTACTTTTCCGCGAGCGCTTAGTCTCGATTGCAAACAGGTGCGCAAAGAAGCTAAACGTTTCGGAGAAGTTAGGTCGTACAGTTGAGTCAACTGTGGATATTCCGATTTCCAATTGGAGTTAGTTCCAACGCAAAGAGAGAGCAAGGATGAGGGTCCGACGGGTGTTAATCTCAGATTAATATGAGACAAACCAACAGCATCTGCATGAGATCGAGCTTCATCAGATGTCCCACCTGATGGGCGGCTTTTTCCTGCTCGTGACGGACGTTTTCGGCAGCTTGATTCATTCGATACTGTAGGGAGCACGGTGTCTTTTATAGAGACCTCGGGCTGCAAAACACGGAAATCCACTTCCGGAGTAATCCCCAAGGGTATCATCCGTGGATTGTGAGGATAAAAGGCCAGACGTTTGTACGCACCACCTTCCAGAAGAGCCTTGTGAACAGTAGACGTTCGAGCCATGCTAACAGCATGGTTTCGTTCCTCTCTGCCTTCCGTCAAAAGCATCACGATACGGCCCAAACGCTGACGTCCAGTCCGACCGAGACGTTGCATCAATCGCACGGGAGACTTGAAGGCATCAAAGCATATTATCAAATCCACCTGGCCGACATCCAGACCCTCCTCTCCGACACATGTTGAAACCAGGGTGTTGTAGACTCCTTTACGAAAAGCATCCATGACTCGAAGCTGGTCGCGTTGCGAAATGCCCCCAGAAGTGAGGCGGTTAGAGGACATCAAAGGTGGTGTACTCAGTTTTGCGTCTGGACCGGACCCGGCAAGCACTGGTGACCGGTTTGTTCCGGAGCCCTGGCCGATAAAAGAAGCTGGCCGAACTAGTGGACGTAGTTGCTTGAGCATGTGCATAATCTCCTCAACAGAGTCCCGAAACTGACTGAAGACAATCACGCGCGTCTCACCCTGCGCAATGGGCGCATGCGAGCGGAAGTGTTGCACTAGCAGTTCTTTCAATTTTTCCAGTTTCGGATGACCTCCCACAAATGGTGTCTGAGTGGAACTTGGATTATCCGCATCGGGCGCAGATTTGAAGCGTGTGACCAAGTCTGACCACAATTGCTCCACGCCAGACAAACGCATCATCTCCGCACGTACTGAAGCACTTGCACGCTGCCCGTTGAGCACGCCGCCCAAATACTGGTATAACGGACGAAGTCCATGCTGGTCTAACAATTCCATGGCATGCAGTAAACAAATGACCGACCCGAAATCACACTGAACAGCACCCGCATCGATGGAAGACAGCTGGGCAGCGTTCGGCCCGGAAGACCATTCTTCACGAGCCTTGATCACAGTGAACTTGGCTATTCGCTCCGGACGTAAATCACCCATCCCTTGTCGAAGTGCTCCGCGCAGACGCAGACGCTCCAGTGGTATACGAGCACATTCAATCAGTTGACTGCGGAAGCGATTGAGCTCTGGGCCCAACGGAACCACAATCGTCTCCAACTGGCGATGTTGTGTGTACCGCTTCACATCCACGCTGGTGTCTGTGCGTAGTTCCAGATGGGAAATCAGCAAATTAGCCAGAATGGTTTGAACGCCTTGAATATCTGACGCTGGGGTAGCCGAAAGCGCGACAACGCGAAACAATCGGTGGTTATGTGGCGGTGCAGTCAGAAGTCGGATAACCTGTGAAAGAAAACGAAAAACCCCGGTTAAAACCGCGCAACACGGAATACGTGGAAGTCTATCGCAACAGTGTCACAATACACCCCAGTAGTGAATAAATCAATAAAAAATCGTTCAGCCGTAGCACTGTTTCGGTGCCTAACTGCCATGCCACCCGAAGGAAGTACAAGGGCTGAGATACTGCCAGGTTGCCCAAGCCTAGACAGGGGAAGCTGAGAGGCAGAGGTCGGGTTCGAACCACGGACCTTCCGGTCAGTTAATTCGCGCCCTAACCACTTTGTCCATCTCGCCCCCACCAAATCAATAAAACTGAGAGATTCACTGTAGTGTGACCAAGATAGATGTGTTACGCCATTTCAGCTTCATAACTATACGACAACCGAAATACCCCAACGTGAAAAGTGCTGTGTGACAGTGAGAAATACAGATCAGTAGTCTCCCCATCATCCTTACGCGGATTCAATTTGGGTCCGATTAAAACGCCTGATCAGATACATCTGCAAATGCAAATTTCACGATGTAGCTAGGAAGAACGTCCTGACGGGAATCCATTATATGTTAGATGAAGAGTTCATCTTTGTTAGGCGGCCGTATTCGTTGACAAAAAATGGTGCACTCGCTGGCATGCAAAGACTTCGCTATCCGAACACACATGATTAGAACACGATCTGTAGTGAAGGCAATCTGACCAAAAAACGAGTGGTGGTGGGCGTTTTGGAAAGCCGCGGACTGGGGGCTCAGCAAAGGACTTCAACGGATCATCAAATGCTCATTTTCCCCACCAATCCCCGCAGCTAAATTGGTGCTTTCTGTCCGTATACCGCTTTCGAAACTCTTGTAACCCGGTCGGAATCCGGGAAGTCTGTTTCCTGACAATACTTCAGCCTTATCACATGTTTGCCTGTCTAATTTGGGAAGGCAGAGTGTTCCGAATGCACTGAGGTTTGAAATACTAACAAGAGTTGTTTGCACGGTATTTCAGAACTAGTGCAGTTAGAGCTCTAATCTTTACAGCGTCACCTCATAGAAGAGCAAATCTAACATTAGACCACGTCAGAGAGACCTCGATCCACGACCGACTGCGTTAGACAACCCACGTCGAATTCTTGGAAACCACTACAAGACTCAGCAACAAGCCGCTACTTCATTCAATGATTTACGCGAAACGTTTCGTTAGGGCAATAGATATTGTCATTGTTCTATTCCAAAAGCTAAGAGTGTGTCTAGTAAGATGCTGAATATCATCCGGACTTATTAGTGAACCACAAAAGCCTTGATGCCCTCAGCTACTTTTCTGAGGCACATTTAGGCTTCGGACCTTGACTATGCTTACGATGTCGTGGCCCTGAGGAGAGGCTAAAGAAGAACGACTGTCATACGAATATTTGAGATTCGCCAACTTCTAGAATGATCGAACATAGCAAGAATTGGGCAACCGACTGCCAGGAAAACATTTCTGCAGCTCCATAGCGCTCTATAAAAAGAAACCAAAAGCAGCCTTCGAGCTGAACTCCGCTTCTACAATGCAACTATTTGTTTGAGATATGCTGAAATAGAACTGTGAGGTATGTTCATAAAGGAAACTACTCACAAGGTTGCTGAAAACTCGTCGACAGCCCACGACCGGTTTCGCCCTTCTTGGGGCTCACCAGGTAGGCACAGTCCACAAGTTTCCGTCAACCTAATGTTCTACTTGAACCCAATTTGGACTGATTTCGAGGGATAGGTCTTTTCCCAGTTGATGACTCTCACAACCTTCAACTAAAATATCATTTGCGAACACTGGATGCACATCGGGACCACAGTACCATAGAACGCTGTCATGATATTACAAGCCTTTATAATTGGATCCAGTGGCACGACGGTTTGAGCGTGTCCTCCACGACCCAAAGTCTAAATTGTCCCCATCACTACTGACCTGTTGAGGATGATACTGTCGCGCAGCAGGAGAACCTGAAAACGTGACCCTCAACAGTCAGGGTGGAGGTTGAGCTACTGACTATCCAGATCGGGTGCTGTACTTTTCAGACTACCCTGGGGCCAAATCGTTCGTTCAACCACAGCATCCTCTATAAAAGGTTTCCCGGGATGCGGGTACGGTACCAAGTTTGGTTGAAAGGGGACCGCGGAGATAAATCATGATACGATCGGTCACCAACTGAGGCTAGTAGTCAATGATTTACTGGAATACCTGATCAAATATTCAGGGTGAATTTCACACCAACTACAAGGATAAACCGACTCAGTTAGGTAGTTCAACATGGATATACTTAAGCTTCCAGTGAATACGCTCCACCTAAACATATTGTGTGCAACATGACACCAGTTGACTACCTGACGGCTCCTCCACAAATAACACCCGCCACGCCCGTATACATCAACCTCAAGCCTGCCGAAAACAGATTATCCCCCTAATGCATTCAGACAGCCACACAAAGCAAAAATACCTGTTTCACGAAAGAAAATCGAAAAGAAAAGCCATCAATCAGGCCAGAAATCTCTGAACTTTTAGATCTCCGTTTCATAAGCCTAGATTCATCTTCCGCGTGAAGATGGGAAAAAAGGTACGAAAAGGTATTCGTGTATATGTTCGATTGTTTCACGAAAACGTCACGTGAGATAGGCGTCACTGATGCGAAAACTGATCGCCAATTCCTTGCTGTCCTGGTTTTCGACATTTCCAAACAGTCAAACAAAAAGTTCGGAAAAATTCTTGCTGTAGTCAACCCCGGGCAAGCTGGTCTCCAACACTGATCAGAGAACCCTCCGGTTGCACAAACTTGAAAGACCTACCGATTAGGTCTGATATCTGAATAATGCTCCAAAGTGAAAACGGGCAAAAGCGTTTGGCGACTATCTATGTATCAAAAAACGTGTACCCCTTTATTAGGAGTGTTTCCTCGCTGATGGCGAATGATTTCTCGGCGTGCGTGAATTTCGGTTTCCTGGGATAGGACAAATGTACCACCCGGAACACGACATGAGAGACACAGCAGAGATCTTACACTGGACGGTGAGCCGTGATGGTTACTAATAGGGTGTTCACACACACACACACACAGTGAAAGCCGCGGCCACGTGCGAAAACGTCGGTTCGATAATTTTTCGGTGTTGTGATTGGTTCATGTACACTGGGCACTGGATGATTCATCCCCTTTTTCGCTGGTCAATGTTTGTTCAGCATGTCTGCATCACGGTGAGTCGACACCCTGTTGCACCTTGTACAATTTCGCTCAGTGGTGAATGGGCATATCGTTGTTTGTCCATCTTTTGATATAAAAACTAGGATGTACACCAGTTACAACCAGTCGAACGGCCACCAACACAGACAAACACGTCCTCAAAGTTGCATCGGACTTCACGCGCTTGGACCTGAACTCTGAGATACCCCTCAATGACAGCAACTGAACACGTAAACATGAGAAAGGGAACAAATGTGAAGTGAGTATAGAAGACAGGGTTGGTTGAGGGCAAGATGACAGACCCAGTCCGCACATTTTTTGACAACCTAACCCGATGGTTTGGCCAAACTCGGCTGGGATCTTGTCAAACAGATTGAGTACCATGTGGTGCATAATATGGAAGCTTTAACGTCAAAACACAACACAGTGGAATAAGATGTTATAACCCGACGTTTCGGTTGCTGTGGGCAACCTATTCAAAGATTTCCACAATCAATCAATGAAGAAGGTTGCCCACGACAATCGAAACTTCGGACTATAAAATCTTATTCCACTACGCTGTGTTCTGACCATAAAGCTTCCATTAGAGTAGGGACCTGATACGAAATAACCGAAGACCACAGGAAGGACTGACAAAGACAATAAACACGTGGCTAATTGTTCCACCGGAACAAGATGAAATTGAACAACTTGTCCGTGGTCTTCATATCGTAAACAACATAAAAACACTGATCACAAACGGCAGGAAAGCATTGGCTCTATGGTCTAGCAGAGGAATTATGAAATGTTTGTTAGTCGGGTCATGTAAGGAGCTAAGTGACGCACAACGGGAATTCCATGAACATTGAAAAGGTGCCAAGATCCCAAAACATCGTGCTTGACAGCAGTGGCTTTCTTTTTTGCCACGTAATGACCGGAGACATTTTGACAACAAGACTGAGAGAAGTAAACTGGGCGAAGACCACTTCGGGACTGACCAATCACAGTAGAGCTACCAGATGCGGTTTAGAAACTATATAAGCAGAAGAGGAGTTCACCCACTCAACCCGCACTGTCACCTCGATTGGTGATGAGACTTTTGCAATCCATTTGCCGAGCTGGAAGAACATCTCGTTCGGTAGATGGTGACTGCACACGTGCGACGGTCACACTCGCCGTATTTCCCGCTCTACCGATTCTGGCTCATTGGTAAGTGCTCGATTACGAAACACTTGCTGGGCACATGCCACTGGCAATAACTGCGCTGCTGCAAGTAGGGTGGTGGCCGAAAGCCTGAAGAAGCCCTGTGGCTTCGAACTAGTGTCTACGGTTTATAGCTGTGTCTTAGAACCGTTCTCATAACTGGTTTATAGGAAAGATGAATCAGCTTCAAAAATTTGCATCTGAAGCAAGTTAGTGGACATATCTCGCATTTGGATAACGTGTGGGTGCTAAAGTGATGACACAACCACCGTCTTATCACCAGGAACCGGTGAGATGACAAAAACAGACTAAAAGCCTAGACATACTGATCAAAGCAACCTGTTGCTAGAATATCAACAATCACCTTTCGGTGCCTAGCTGCCATGCTATACAAAGGAAGAGCGAGGGCTGAGATACTGCTGGATTATCCAAGCCTAGACGGGAACAGTCGAGATGCAGAGGTCAAGTTCGAACCGAACGGACCTCCCGGTAAGTACATTTGAGTCATGAACCATCAGAACGACGTCGACCGCGAATCGATCAGATCAGGCTAACAGAACCTGTGTAGCCGCTTTCTAGTTGCACACACAAAATTGACGTTGCATTGATTCACATAGCGAGACTAAACGTGCATCAAATTTGTCACGGCTTCAGACACAAGACAGTCACCAGAAGTTCTCCGTAACCTTGCGGATAACGTCCGTAACAGGCAAACGCCTCCACTAACGAGCTTATTTATCATAAGTGAGGTAAGTGAAGCTGTAGTATGTCATAGTCACGAACCCAACTTATTCCCCAGCAGCAGTGAATGTGCCGCTGTAGACAGGCATTTGGACAGGTTCTGAGCGCTAGTAACGCCGCACGACAGTCTTGATTTCCTACGCTCCCATTGGGCCCAGGAAATTCAAATTTCAACCCACGTTATGCCTAAATTTACTACTGATTTCGATTTGGTACGCCGCGTGCAAATAGTTATTCAGGCCACTCCAACGATCTCATCTATTGACTGCTCCTGGGAGAGAAGCAACATAACAGTTCATTAGACAAGTAGTTTTTGCTATCGTTGGTACAGGAATAAATCGATGTTCCAACAAGGCAGGCACGCAATGCATTACCATCATGATCATCAACTGGGAAAACTGCCTACGTGCCGTACAGTGGCTATAGCTGCCCCAGTTGTACCGTTGATTTCGAGGTACAGTAGACAGCGGTAGCATTGGAGGCGGTAGTTGATATGAGCTGAACCACCTCCTCGTGGTGCCGACCGGTCTTATCGTTAGGGAGATAGGGAGGGGAGCAATGCAGTGGAGGCAAAAGCTCGGGTGCATGAGCAACAATGAGGACGCGACTGGGCTATGTCTGACAACGCCTCTAACCACTCATGTGCCGCACCTCTAGTTCCCCAGCGACTAGCGCACCTGAGTTTGTTTTCATACTTCGCTGCCAAGTAATTGTTTGACCTCCCCTGGCTCACCATTTTTCACGTGCAGACATTTCACGATGGTGAAACATGAAAATCTGCTGACGTCCTTGACGCCTAGCGGCCAGATTTCCGAGCCGTACAATAATATAGGGCGTACCGCAGCATTGTAAACTCGACCCTTGACGGACAAACTGATGTCATGCCTACGCCACAGGTGACGCAGGTTCACGAAAACTGCTCTGGCCTTCCTAATCCGGAGCGAAATATCATCCTTCGAGAGACCAACGGGAGTGATACAGCTGCCCAGGTAGACAAACTTGTCTACTACCTCAATCGGCTCATCCGCAAACATGAGGTTCTGGTCCGCCCCCCCCCCCTCCGTCCTACCACATGACTTCACACTTTGCAGGTGGGAAGCGCATGTCAAGCCCTGAGGCAGAATTATCTAGATTATTTAATATTGTTTGCAGTACCACGGTATCACATCCAAGAAAGCTATATCGTTTGCGTACTCGATATCTGTGAGCGGACGCCACGGGAGAACTTCGACCCCACAGGCATTAAAGGCTGGTAGTGAGTCTCCCATGATCGCATCAGTGACTAAATTAAAGAGGGATGGTGGAAGAGGACAGCCCTGTCTGACATCAGTTGATGTGGTGAACTCAAGCGAGAGCTTCCCGTAGACCTTCACACGTCCTCGGGAGCTGGCGTACAGCGCCTCAAGGAAGATCAAGTATTTATGGGGAACACCTTTGATCCACAAACACTGCCATAGTGCCTGACGGTTCACAGAGTCAAAGGCAGCTTTCAAATCAAGACCACCATTGTCGGTCACTGAAAGCAGTTTCGCTGTTCTGTCGGAGGATGGAAATGTGATCGGGGCATCCTCTTGTTAGACGGAGCCCAGCTTGGTTTTCACGGATGCTCTGTAGCAAAATTTAACCGAGCATTTCACTGACCAATTTTATGAAGCATGCTTTCAAGTGATTGACCGCAAACACTACAGGGTATTGCAAAGCGAAAGTTGCAGAGGACCGTCAATAATCAGATGACAAGCCAGGACCTTGTATATGAAAACAAGTCATTCCGTTTGTGTACGAGCGTGCTCAGAAGGTTCACGCCGAACATTCCCCAGTTGGGTGTGTTCTTGATTAACTAGAATACAAATGTAGCACAAGCAGGTGCGCGGAACGTCATACAGAAATGAATAAAACAGATGATACTGATTGTTCAGCTGTAACACCTTTTAGGTGTCTAGCTGCCATGCCACCCGAAGAGACCACAAGGACTGGGATACTGCCAGCCTGCCCAAGCCTAGACAGAGGAAGTAGGGATGCAGAGGTCGGGTTCCAATTACGAACCTTCCGGTCAGTAAATTCGCGCTCTAACCACTGAACTATTTACTTTATCATAAAGTATGAAGTCGCGAATGGGAAAAAGTGGTGTTCAGTGATGAAAACAGGGACGGTCCAGACAGGAAAAGATAACCGAATTCAAAATGAACAAACGGAAGATCTTTTATGGTTTAATCGTTCGGCTGTAGCACCCTTTCGGTGCCTAGCTGCCATGCCACGTGAAGGAGGCACGAGGGCTGCGATATTGCCAGGTTGCCCAAGCCTAGGCAGGGGAAGTCGAGAGGCAGAGGTCGGGTTCGAACCACTGACCTTTCGGTAAGTAAATTCGCGCTCTAACCACTTGGTCCATCTCGCCCCCGTTTTATGGTTTAGGTTCCAAGTTGTCGCAAACGAACGTTTACCGACCACCTATTCGTATTGGTCTACGAAGAACGGTCACGTTTCAATGCGTACTCCCTGATTAACGAGATCATTGTTTCTCTCTCAGGCATAATCGCATGCAAAAAACATATGGGACACTATGACAAGGCCTTTATACAGCTAAAAAAGAAACTTCGACTCCTTGGACAGATTGAAGAGGACAGTCATAGACGTGCAGTGGAATTTGAATGCAAGACTTACGCATATTTGCACGAGAGGGATACGAAAACTTGAACTTTCGGTGATGGACCATGGGATGTCAGACATGTCACTCCCACTCCCTCCCAAATTGTGTTGACTTTTGGATTCGTTATATTCCTCCTATCTAACAACCCTTCCTCCCAAGTACGACCGGTGGCTATGCACAGCTAGCGCACTGTTAGACTGACCCTAACCCAATAACGCGATCACCCTTACAACACAAATGAAGTTGCTTGGGTTTTGCAAGGTGATGACAGAGAGGAAGGGCTAGATGTTCGAACTATCCCCAAAGGTGCCTCTCGCCCTTTCAATACGCAACGCACTGTGCCGGGGTCTTGTGCATACCGAATCGAGGCACGCCCAAAAATCAACACACAGCTACCTTGAAATGTGTTGAGAATGGAAATGACGAAAAACGTAGGGCCTCAATAGCCTCTCTTAAAGCATGTGTACGGAGTACACTTCCCGTACTTTATTGGGTAATCAATCATTGACAAAGAAGGCTGTAATATCACAACGCTAGTCGTCCAAAGACCAAGGCCGAGACCGATGGCAGAGTAGCCTCTCAGTAGAATCTACCGTAATGGTTCTACACAAACCGAGCCGGTCAAGATTACCGGTGGGTATTCAAATTTCCACCGGTGGAAGCAAATCGGTTCCTGAACCCAGGTAAACCTTACTGCGGACCTTCATTCTGTTGGAAGCACCCTTGTCACATGAAGAAATCGATGAAGCTTCCATCAATTTCAGATGTAATTCAAGAGGAATACGGCGTGGTCAGGTCTATTTGATTACCTGCGACACACAAACCAGCAAATTAAGGTACTTTGATATGCGATTAACACGTTTTGGGAAAAGATGTTGCAAACGAATGAGTCAATTTGAAAACTCCCAATCGGCTTACCTGGCAATATGCATGATTTCCAGTTGCCTTGTGTGCCTCGTCAAAAATTAACAACCGTAAATCTGCAGAAGGACATACACCAGCCTGTAGGTCGTTCATCAACACTTGGGGAGTTAGAAAAAACGCACGTAGGTTAGACCACAGTCGTTGACGTTTGGCTTGCGGTGTTGAACCGGTAAGTTCGATTGCAGTATCAGATGATAGACCAAGCAGACGTCCACAAGCGGTCAGCTGTTGAGCTACAAGAGGTCTTGTGGGTGCCATAAACACCGACTTTCCATGCGGATACCATCGTAGAAAATTGTACATTACCACGGCAGCTACCAAAGTTTTCCCAAGACCGGTTGGTAGACAAACAAGGGTGTTTTTGTACAGACATTGTTCGGTTATGTGAAACTGGTAGTCACGAATATTGACATTCAAAGGATAGATCCAAGTACGGCCAGCCTCGGTATCAAACCCTGCCAGATGGTCTGAATCGTTACCTGTCGGCCGATAGGCGATCGGCGGACGAGAACGGAGTGCAGCAATAGCAGACTCCTGATTGACAACAGGACTGACTTCGCTATTGTCAACATACTGGTCTAATAGCGTGGCTAATAGGTGATCATCGGCGTCTGCACCAATATCTCTGATTGCAGAGTCTGGCGGTGTTCGAGGGGTACTTGTTGTTGTGGAGGTGATGGCTGATGGCTGGCTTCGTCCAAACGGTTTGCTGAGAGCGCGTGTCCATGACTGAATAAGGGACGTTTGCTTCATAGACAGATGAACCCATTCAGATAAACAAAGTTGGTATCTCCTGAAACAAATAATTAATAAACAGGCCGCATTATTGGGCGATAAAACGGAGATAACCCTAATGATGTTTGTACTCCAGTGAATCTGGTGTCACAAATTAAACAAGGAGGTGGGCCTGCAGTGGAAGACTCCGCCAGAAAGCAGTATCGCTGAGATAGCCACAACCAATGAGAGACGAAAAGGGGCAAAACAAAAGCGCAAGGGAGGCTGAAACCAAGAGTAAGTAGTCGAGTGTTTGTGCACACGTTGACAGCACAATCGTGTGTCATAGTTGGCCATGTGTGGAATTAGGTCAGATACGGTATCGATCTAAAACAACGCCGAAAGGAAACACCGGCTGGAATGTTTTGATGTACAGAGAGAGATGCTTGAAGACCGGCACAGACTACCTGGATTGTACTTTGTGGTAAGCACACCAACTTCAATAGATCGGAGGGTATTGTTATTGGGCTCGGAATTAAAATCGCTTAAAAGAGTGCCTACAAAATTTCGCAAAGGGCACTTCAGAGGGACAAGCATGCCATTGACTGTTTCTATTCCGGACACCTTCAATCAAACTCAAACAGACATATTTTACATGTGAAAGTAGACGGGAAGACCAGCTGCTCTTTCGTGACATGGAGCTGACGAAAGCCTAAGGTGGGCAGATACAAAACGAAGCGTCTTTTGCAAACCCATGTGGACAGGATAGTACGCACATTTTCGCAGGTTTTTTTTCGCCTCAGAGTCAACCGGAAGCTTCTCAAAAAACGGTAAGACCAGTCGCTCTTTCGTGACATGGAGCTGGCGAAAACCTAAAGTGGGCAGATATAGAACGAAGCGTCTTTCGCAAACCCATGTGGACAGGATGGTATGCACATTTTTGCAGGTTTTTTGGCCTCAGAGTCAACCGGAAGCTTCTCAAAAACCATAAGTCATAACCTGCGGAGCAAACAGCCTGAGAGAAGCGAACTTCGAAAAATGGGTGTTTTCAACACAATGCTCACTCAGAAAAACTTCTGCCGAACGACCAAGTCGAGACCGCCCAGATCACCCTAACTTGAAAGGTGATACGATAGGTGAGGTGCTGGTTAGGCTACAAGACCAATACCAGAAGACCTTGTGTCACGTGACCTACTCCAGCCTACCTATTGTCGGACAAGACTTAAAAGGCAAACTTCAATGGGTTTTTGGTCACCGCCTTCCTCTGCGTAGACTGTTGCACTGCAGTGGGAGCACCGATACAACGTAAACAGTTCTGCCTTAGTTCATCGCCTGGATACCGGAAAAGATTGACTTTCCAACTGTTTTTTAAGTCGGTTTGTGAAGCGTAAGTTACCAACGATTCTAAGAACTAAACTTATTATTTGCAGACCGGTCCGGTTTTTACGGAAGACTCAACTGAATTCCAGCTGAACCTCTCGTTTATGATATTCCTCACTTGAATGTGCTACACAAAGGCCATCTTGTGTTTCAGCTGGCACGACATTCGACACAACAGTATATCTTACCGGCGGAACATACTACTCATAAGGCTGCTGATTACTCTTCAGAGGGGAAATCAGATTTCAGCTTATAGGGAAATAATCCACTTCCACCAGAAAGAAGCAGCACAGTGGATGCCTCTGTGAGGTACGACAACCAACACAGACCACTGTGAGGCCATTTCAAAGTTGTTGGTGAGTATCCGAAAAAAACGACATCAAGCAAGAACAGTCCAAAGTTGAACATAAAGCGAGAACCAGTAAAAAACTACCGATTGTTTACCAAGCCATTCTGAAACGAGAACTGGCATGATATTCTAATATCAGTGCTACATTTTACAGTGAGACAGTTTCCGAAAACAAGCTCAATGAATGAAAGGTCAGTCTGAACTCAAACAAACTTTGTTCAACAAACCACTTCTATCACTGTTTGACCGACTAGAACGAAAGAAACCAGCTAGCTGATGTTAAACTGTCCCACCGTGTAGTGCATCGCGGTATTTTGTGAGCATCAGGAATCCGGGTTTTCTATGCAGCGTAAGGTTTCGTGAAAAGTGCCAAATGTGTGAGTTAGGTGCATCCGACACTTTCGAATGGTGAGTGTTTATTTCTCGATTAGCATCATGGTCACGTGAACGGAAACGTTTACCTGTTCACTGAAGACAACTCAAGTTCATTCGTTGTGTGGTGATAGAACAATAAGAACCGCATACCTAATGACCAGATTTCCAGAAAAAAAAACAGACCAAAGTTAGACACTACCCGAGTCTGGTGCTCCACCAGAGAAAAGTAGATACGCATTTAGATGGATACACAGTTATCCATGTGCATAGCGGCGAGATATCTGTGGTTAGAGCGCGAATTTACTGACCGGAAAGTCCGTGGTTCGAACCCGACATCCGCCTCTCGAATTCCCCCATCTAGGTTTGGGTAACGTGGCAGTATCCCAGCCCTTGTGCTTACATCTGGTGGTATGGCAGTTAACCACCGAAAAGGCGCTACAGCTGAACGACTTTTGGTGCAAAATGTCAGGATTTGGTTAGTGCATCCGGCCATCCCTGGAATATGAAACTCGATGTCTTCCAGGACGGGAATCGGGGACACGTAACTAGATAGTAAAATATTCAACCTGGGGCGAGTGCACAATCTGTCATTGTGTAGTACACATGAAACTACAAAAGACTGGAAGTAAAGAAGAACTACAATCTGTCTGTTTGAGGCAGTAAACGGTTTGGTTTACTGTATGTAGTTTACATCAGTAGTATGTAAATCGAGCAATCTAGTTAGGGAATTGGAATCTAAGCCTACCTCTAACATCTCGGGGACCGAAATACTCCCGGGGTAACACTGAACCTGAACCCCCGACGTTCAGTGAGTTAGCAGACCACATGCAACCACTTTTTTTTACTCTAATCGGAGATGGGCACCAGAATTGATAAATAGCCTAATGGGTGTAGCACGAAATAGGTTGTCCAACTTTCTGAGCATTCCAATATTACCTGATCAATTCGGCTGCGGTTGTTAAGTGCACGAGGGAAGCCCGCGGGGAAATATAGGCCTACTTCATGATTCCATATACACAGTTGCGCCTCGGACTTTTTTGTCCTTCTAAATTTTCCGTGACCTTGAGCACAGCTTATCCACGAGATAACCATATGGTACTGCTTACCACGACTTATTCCATTCCCACCACGAGAAAAAATGGGATGGAGCAAAGGCCAAACACGTTATGAAAAGAGTTTGCACCATTTCCAAGCACCAATTTGAAGTCACTTGGGTCATGAAGAAAGTTATCATGTCCTAAAACTTAGTTAATGAGCAGCGTAATTATAACTGGGCTCTCCCAACTCCACTAGTCAACTGACAACAAATGTTCTGGCTCACATTTTGCATCCCTGTGGGTGACGATGCTTTGATGGGAGCCCCATACAATCGTTAATAAACAGTAGTGTATTTTTGGTTGTTGATCAGGTGGCTGTTGATCTGTTCGCCGAGCTTGGCAATTGGCTTGCAAACGTTTCGTCATCAATCAACAGCCACCTGATCAACAACCAACAAACTCATCCGAGCTACCAATATTTCACCACACTACCAGTAGTGTATTTTATACCGGGGTTCAAGCCAGGGAAACGAGATTTACCAACGCAACTGAGTTTGCTATCAGAAATTAAATTAGCTGTTGTGTACATCTATTAAATTGTTTGCTGAACCCGGCGGTTCGGTTGCTGACGTTTCCCAAATAGATAAGATGACGTCACCAGTCTTGAGTCTCCCTTGCCAAATCATAGACAGACCGCCTAAAAGTTGCTTCCAACTTGTTCTAGGCCGGGACAAAGGGTCATGAGAGGTGGACGGTTCAATAGCACACAAAGTGTATTGGGCGGCATATCCTATGAAATGAGATTGACTTATCTTTCAAGAAGTATTTGACGCGACAGGACAACGCTAATCCATTTACCACCCGCACGATGACCAAACATCGAAATACTTGTACGTACACCCTGATTTATCAGGTCGATTGTATAGTAGCGAAGCTTTAGGTTCAAACCAAGTCTTTTTTTGCATTTCCATCATAAGTGGAGGTTGTCCATCAGACAGATTTGACATTTGACCTGTTCATCTGAAGTGCTGACTAGAACATGAACACAAAACGTCTGTGATTCCCGGTGAACGTTATACCTTAAGGTATCTTCATGTCTTGTTTGGACCCGCACCGATATCATTTCTCATATACCACTATCGTCCATGAGTAGTCTAAAACAGCTGAGAAATTTCGGTTTTCATATNGAGAAAGGAACTGGTGCGAGCTTACCAGCAGCTCTTAGGAGACATAGATTCAGATCAATTCAGGCGTGTAGAAATCCGCAGCACGAGAACCAGTGGGATCTTAAAGGCTACCTACCCTGTGAATTGTCCGGACAAGCGCAGGAAAGGAAACCCATCCTGGAGGGCGATGCGCATTAACAATCTTCAAACTTTTTGAATGTTATTATACCCTATTGACGGATCAAACATTGTGCGCTCTTTGATTCGTTCCGTCGGTATTGTCGTGAAAGACACTGTTCTTTCCCGTAGACTATAACTCAGGAAGTGTACCACATGGTCGAACCATAACGGTTTGAAGTACTGTGTGCGATCTGCGACCAGCCCATTCTAAGTTTGTCAGTAACAGCCGATTTCAACTACCGTTCCGAGACGCCAAAAGTCTAGGTATGCTTCAGGTTACCTGAACGAAATGGCAAAGCCTCGCGACCACATGTAAAGGCCCATGTACCACAGCATGGTGCGGCAAGATGGAAAGAAAAGAGGGAGGTCTGGAAGGTGGGACCCGTGTCATCGAAATATCACCTCCAGTTTCTACTTTCTGCCACTTCAAAGATCGTTTCTAGTCATCCTCCTTGTCCTCAAGTTCTAATCCGCGAAAGCGTGACGGTCCAACAGATTTGAGTGGAGCAGTTATGATCTTCATACGATTTCGTCAAGTTTGCTGCTGACCACCCCATCCCCCTTCCGGCTAGTCGTCCTCAGTCAGATCCAG